GGCGTCACTTTTGGGCAAGCTGCCAGCTGTCAGCAGACATCTGATCTTGGGTGTCGCTGTCATGCAGAACACTGGATGACCCTGGGTTGACCAGACGTTCGCAGACACTTGGTCTTTGGTGTCACTCTTGCATGGGCTACCAGGTTTTTCCAGGTTCAATTTAGTGTCTGCAGGCACCTGGTCTGGAGTGTCACTGTGGTGCGGGCCGCAGGGCTCCCAGCGCTTGACCTGGTGTCTGCGGACACCTGGTCTTGGACCTCACTGTCACGTGGCTTGCCGGGTGTCCACGGACCCCTGATCTCAGGTGTCACTGTTGTGTGCCACCAGGTGTCCCCAGGGTCGGCAGGGTGTATGAAGCCAAATGACTCAGGCGTCACTGGTGCACAGGAGACCAAGCATCTCCACAGTCAACCAGTCTTTGCAGATGCCCGGTTTCGGAATCCCTGTCACAAGGGGTGCTGGAGTCTCCGGGTCGACCCAGTGTCTGTGGACACCTGGTTTCAGGTGTCACTGTCGCCTGGGCCACCAGTTGTTGTGTTCCCAGGGTCAGCCTGGTGTTTGCAGACACCAGGCTCGAGTGTCACGGTCACAGGGGTCACCTGGTGTCACGGGCACCAGGTCTCAGGAATTGAAATGGCACGAGCTGCTGGGTGTCCGCAGACACCCAGTCTGGGGCATCACAGGCGAGCAAGCTGCCCGCTGTCTGCAGACACCCAGTCTGGGGCATCGCTTTGCATGGCCACTGGAAACCCCTGGAGGTGTCCAGAGGTCTGCAGTCGCCTGGTCTCAGGGTCCCTGTCACAAAGGCTGCTGGGTATCCACGGACACCTGGTCTGAGGAGTCAGTGTGCATGGGCCGCCAGGTGTCCGCAGACATCTGGTCTTGGGCACCACCGTTTGGCGAGACTCTGGCTGTCTGTGGACATCTGGTCTCAGGTATCACTATTGCACAGGCCACTGGATGTCCTTGGGCTGACCAGATGTCTGCAGACACCTGGTCTCGGACTTCGTTGTTGTGCGGGCCACTATGTGTCCCCAGGGTGGACCCAGTATCTGTAGGCATCCAGTCTCAGGCATCACTGTCGCATGTGTTGTCTGGTGTCTGTGGTCACCTGGCCTCGGACACCGCTTTCCTGTGGGCCCCTGAGTATTCCTGGGGTTGACACTGTGTTTGCGGACACCTGGGTCAGGCATTATTGTCAGGTAGGCCACTGGATATCTCTGGGTCAACCAGATATCTGCAGATACCGGGTCTTGGCATCACTGTCGCAGTGGCTGCTGGGTGTCTTTGGGGTCACCCTGGTGTCTGGACATCTGGTCTTGGGTGTTACTTTCATGAGGGCCATCTGGAGTCTCAGGCACCTGATCTTGGATGTTACAATGGTGTGGGCTGCCAGGTGTCCCCAGACCTGGTCTCAGGCGGCACTGTTGGGCAAGCTGACAGCTGTCCACAGATATCTGGCTCCAGACATTGCTGTCATGTGGGCCACCTGATGTCCCTGGTATCGACCAGATATATGCAGACACAGTCTTGGACACCACTATTGCGTGGGCCGCCTGTTGTTCTCACACACTTGGTCTTGGGCATCACTATTGCGTGGACTGCCAGATGTCTGCAGACACCAGGTCTCAGGTGTCACTGTGGTGCGCTCCTGGCTGTCCTCGGACACTTGGTCTAGGGCATCACAGTCCCACAGGCAGCTGCCGGGTGTCCCCAGAGTTGACCCTGTGTCCATGGTCACTTGGTTTCGGGTGTCACTGGTGCACAGGTCCCTGGGTGTCCCTGGAGTCCACTCAGTGGCTGCAAACACCTAGTCTCAGATGTCACTGTTTCACATGCTGCCAGGTGTTCCTGGTGTCAACCCGGTGTCCCTGAACACCTGGTAAAGTGTGTTCCCATCATGCAAACAGTCAGGTGTCTGTAGACACTTGGACTCAGGAGTCACTGTCACATGAGACACCAGGTGCCTCGGACAACTGGTCTTGGGTGTCACTGTCACGTGGGTCACCAGATGTCCCCAGGGTCAACTAGAGGTCTGTGGATACCTGATCTCTGACATCACTGTTGTGTGGGAGCCTGGTGTTTATGAGGTTGACCCAGTGTCTGTGGACACCTGGTCTTGGGCATCACTGTCGCGAGGGCTACCTGGTGTCTGCAGGTACTTGATCTTGGGCGTCACAATGGTGTGGGCTGCCAGGTGTCCATGGACACCTGATCTCGGGCGTCATTGTTACGCAGGACACTGGATGTCCAAAGGATTGACTAGATGTTCACAAACACCTGGTCTTGGGTGTCACTATTGCATAAGACACCAACTCTTCTTGGAAATCTGGTCTCAGGTGTCACTGTCACATGGGCCACCAGATGTCCTTGGGTTGACACCTGGCCTTGGACAGCACTGTTGCTTGGGCCACTAGGTTTCCCTGGGATCAACCTGGTGTCCACAATCACCTGGTCTCAAATGTCACTGTCATGCAGGCTGCCTGGTGTCTTTGGGGTTGACCTAGTGTCCACGGACACCTGGTCTTGGGCATTACTGTTGTGTGGGTTGCCTGGAGTCTATGGACAACTGGTCTTGGGCATCACTTCATGCAGGCCACCAAGTGTTCATGGACACCGGGTATCAGGCGTCACTGTTGTGTGGTTTGCCAGATGTCCCTGGGGTTGACCCAATATCTGTGGGCACCTGGTCACAGGTTTCACTGTTGCAGGACAACTGGGTGTCCATGTGGTCGACACAGTGTCTGCAGACACCTGGTCTCAGGCATCTTTGTCATGCAGGCCACCAGTTGTCCCTGTGATCGAACTTGTGTCCATAGGCAACTGGTCTTGGGTGTCACTGTCACACATGCTGCTGGGAATCCCTGGGGTCAACCCAGTGTCCACAGACACCAGTTTTTGGGTGTCACTTTCACACATAGTGTCAGGAGTCCCCAGGGTCAATCAGGTGTTCATGAACACCTGGTCTCGGGTGCCATTGCCACACAGGCCATGGGGTGTACCCGGGATTGAACCAGTGTCCATGGGCACTTGGTCTCAGTTGTTACTGTTGTGTGGGTTGCCAAGTGTCCCTGGGACTGACCCTGTGTCCATGAACACCTGGTCTCGGGTGTCACTGTCATACAGGTTGCTGGATGTCCTTGTGTTTAACCTGGTGTCTGTGGGCACCTGGTCTTGGGTGTCAGTTGTGTGGGCCGCCAAGTGTCACCAGGGTTGACTCATTGTTTGTGGACACCTGGCCTCAGGTGTAATTGTCATGTGGGCCACCAAGTGCCCCACAGGGTCAGCCTGGTGTCCATGGAGACCTTGACCCAGGTGTTACTGTTGCGTGGGCCACCAAATGTCCCTGGGGTCAATCAGATGTCCACAAACACCTGGTCTTCGGCATCAATGCTGCACAGGCCTCTGGGTGTCTCCAGGGTCGACAGGTCCATGGACACTTGGTCTTGGGTGTCAATGTTGCACAGGCAGCCAGGTCTCCCCAGGGTTGACCCAGTGTCTGTGGACACCTGGTTTCGGGCATCACTGTAAAGTGGCTGCTGGGTGTCCTTGGGGTGAACTGGTGTTTTCAGGTGTCACTGTCACATGGGCTGCCAGCTGTCTGCAGACACTTGGTCTCAGGTGTCACTGTCACACAGGCAACCAGATGTTCCCATCATCGACCTGGTGTCCACAGGAACCTGGACTCTGGTGTCACTGTCACCAGGCTGTTGGGTGTCCCCGGGGTTGACTTGGTGTCTGTGGACACTGGGTCTCAAGTGTCACTGTCGTGTGGGTTGCTGTGTGTTCATGGACATCTGGTCTTGGGTATCACTGTCACACCAGCTGCTGTGTATACCCAGGGTCGACCTGGTGTCTGTGGCACCTGGTCTTGGGTTTCACTGTTGCATGGGCCACCAGGTATCCCCAGGGTCGAACCAATTTCCAAGGACACCTTGTCTTGGGCATCATAGTGGTACAGGCTGCCAGGTTTCCACAGACACCTGATCTCAGGCATCAGTGTGATGTGGGCCACCAGATGATCCCAGGGTCAGCCAGATGTCCACAGACACCTAGTCTCAGGTGTCACTGTCGTGTGGACCACCAGGTCTCTGCAGACATCTGATCTTGGGCTTCACTGTCACATGGGCCACTGGGTGTCTACAGGCACCTGGTCTCAGGTGTCACTCTTGCATGGGATGCCAGGTGTCTGTGGACACCAGATCTCAGGCATCACTGTCACACAGGATGCTGGGTGTCCAGGGAGCCATCCTGGTGTCTGTGGGTACCTGGTTTCAGGGGTCATTGTGGTGCCGGCTGCCGGTTATCTCTGGGGTCAATCCAGTGTCTGCAGACTCCTGGTTTCGAGCGTCACTATTGTGTGGTCAGCTGGGTGTCTGTGGATACCTGGTCATGGGTGCAAATGACATGCGGGCTGCCTGGTGTCTACAGGGTTGACTCAGTGTCTGCGGGCACCTGGTCTTGGGTGTCACTGTTGCGTGGGTCACAGGGTGTCTGAGGACACCTGGTCTCGGAAGTCAGTGTTGGGCATTGTTGGATGTCCGAGGACAATTTGTCTTGGGGTTACTGTTGCATGGGCCGTTGAATGTTCACAGATTCATAATCTCAAGAGTCACTGTCACATGGCCGCTGGATGTCTCTGGGGCTGACCCAGTGTCCATGGAAACCTGGTCTCAGGTGTTATGGTTGCACAGGATGCCAGGTTTCCTTGGGGTCACTCAGAGTCCATGGATACCTGGTTTTTGGGCATCACTATTGTGTGGGTTGCTGGGTGTCCGTGGACACCACGTTTCAGGCATCCCTCTCATGTGGGCTGCCAGGTGTCCTTGGGGTCAACCCGGTTTCCATGGGCACCTGGTCTCAGGTGTCATGGTTGTGTGGGACACCAGGTTTCCCTGGGATTGACCCAGAGTCCACAGACACTGGGTCTCAGATGTTACTGTCATGTGGGTTGCCAGGTGTCCTTGGACACCTGGTCCTGGGTGTCACTGTCGCATGGGTCATCGGGTGTCCTCAGACACCTGGTATTGGGCATCGCTGTCATGTGAGCCACTGGGTGTCTGTGGAATCCTGGTCCCAGGTGTCACTGCTATGTGGGCAGCCAGGTGTCCCTGGGGTCGACCCAGTGTCTGTGAGCACCTGATTTCAGGCATCACTAACAAGGCTGCTGGGTGTCCTTGGGGTGAACCAGTGTCGACAGACACTTGCTTTTGGGTGTCACTGTTGTGTGGGCTGCCAGCTGTCTGTGGAAAGCTGGTCTTGGATGTCACTGTCACGTGGGCCACCGGCTGTCTCTGGGGTTGACCCAGTGTCTGTGGACATCTGGTCTCTGGTGTCACTGTTACTGGGCCACTGAGTGTCCCCAGGGTCGGTCAGATGTCCACAGACACCTGGTCTCAGGTGTCATTGTAGCATGGACCACTGGGAGTCCACAGATACCTAATCTCACGCATCACTGGGGCACAGACCACCTGCTGTCTGTGGGTACCCAGTCTCAGGTGTCACTCTTGCATGGGATGCTGGGTGTCCATGGACACCTGGTCTCAGGCATCACTGTCATGCAGGCCATGGGGTATCCCTGAGGTAGACCTGGTGCCTGTGGGCACCTGGTCTTGGGGGTCACTGTGGCACTGGCCGCCAGTTGTCTCGGGTCCACCTAGTGTCTGTGGACAACTGGTCTCGAGCACCACTGTTGTGCAGTCAGCTGGGTGTTCACAGATACCTGATTTCAGGTGTAAATGTTACGTGGGCAGCCTGGTGTCCCCAGGGTTGATTCAGTGTCCATGGGTACCTGGTCTTGTGTCACTGTCACGTGGGCTACTGTGTGTCTGAGACACCTGGTTTTGGAAGTCAGTGTTGTACCTTGCTGATGTCCGAGGACACTGGGTCTCAGGGGGTCACTGTTGCGCAGGCCACTGGGTGTTCATGGACTCCTGGTCTTAAGCCTCACTGTCACTCTGGCCACCACATGTCCCCGGGGTAGACCCAGTGTCTGCAGAAACCTGGTCTCAGGTGACATGGTTGTGCATAGTGCCAGGTTTCCCTGGTTTCGGGCGTCACTGTCGTGTGTGTTGCTGGGTATTTGTGGACACCTGGTTTTGGGCATCATTGTCACGCAGGCCATCAGGTGTCCTTGGGATCGATCCAGTTTCTGTGGGTACCTGGTCTTGGGTGTCACAGTTGCACAGTATTGAGAGCCAGCCTTGGAGGCCCGCCTGATGACAAAGTCCAGGTGCGCTGAGGACCCCTGGCCGCAAAGCGAGCCCAGGCAGCTGAGGCCCTTCTGTCTTCCATCTTTGCTGTTGATACAGCTGAAGAAATTCTGTGCAGTCATGAAAGAAGAAGATGGCATGTTTATGCGAAGAATCACAGCTAACCTGGAAATATCATGGTTTATTTTTCCATTTTTCCCACTATGCCACTTGGCCTTTTCTAACATATGCAAGGGTTAAACTCTGAAGCATATCAAGAATGCTTTCTTTCACTTGGTTATAAGTTACTAGATATTGCTTAAGTATAAATGATATAAGTATATTCACTCCTTATTAGATTTAGGATTATGCAGTTTAGTGTTTAAACAAGGATTTTTTAGAAGCACAAGTTTATAATAAGTTCATTATGAATTCATTGTAAGTTCTAACACTTATCTAGAAGTTATGTAGGTGATTTATAACACTGTTTTCACTAACTTAGGATAAAGATTAATGTTAAGGTTTTTACTTAATTCTATAATTAAAACTATAAACTTATAACTCTAAATTAACATTTATAGAGTAGGTTTTCACTAAACTCATAATATAATAATCAGACACTTTTATGACAAGATCAGCTAAAACAGAAAGCAACCTTGAGGGGCCTGGGAAACATTACTGAAAGTTTCTTTTGAGTTCTCTTTAGAAACAAGCGCTGCAAGATAAGAGAAAAGTAACAAGGACATCTGGACAAGGGAGGCGATCACCGGACTCTGAAGAACATAAGAGCCTAAGATGAGAATATTCCTGACACATAAAGAAATATGCACTTAAAGAAACTTTCTTGAAACATTTGTAATTTGGGACATTGGACTGAGAGTGTCACTGTTGGCTTTATGAATAAGACGTTGTCTAAATGCCTATGAGAATCTTGGTTTGTTTGCTACTAAAGCCTATGGGAATCTTGGTTTGTTCGCTACTAAGACCACTAGCTGGTAACTTTTAAAAGATATGCATGTGAAAGGATTTTCTTTGTCTTGCCCCTTCATGAATGGCACAAAAGCTCTGTATCAACTAGCATTAAATTGTCATCTGTTCAAGAAGCAGGTGTCCGGTATATGATCGTTCGTCACCTATCCGTCTCTCCTTCAACACTTCCCACGACCCTTGCGGGGCGGGCCCCCGCAGCACAGGATGCCAGGTTTCCCTGGGGTTGACCCAGAGTTTATGGACACCAGATTTTGGGTATCACTGTCGCATGGGCTGCCAGGTGTTCACAGGCACATGGTCTTGGGCATTACTGTAGCATCAGTCAATGGGTGTTCTCAGAAAGTCAAATCTCATCCCAAAAATGCACTTGCAGAAAATAATCTCATTCAAAGTGAAACTGTGAAGACACAACTCTTACAGTGGCACCCAGTGGGAAAAAACCCGCAATAAATTTTAAAGGTTGAACCAACATTTTACACAGCCTGGCCCCAGTTAAAGGCACATTTTATACCAACTGCAACAGTGACAGTTGGATCTCATCTAAAAATACATCTAGCAAAATATAATCTCATTCAACATGAAACTGTGAGTGACACAGCCCTTACAGCATGCACCCAGTGGGAATAAAGCCGCATCCAACCTAAACGGTTGAAACAACATTTTACACAGCCTGGTCTCAATTAAAGGTACATTTTATACCAAGTGCAGCAGTGAAAGAACGACAGATCTCATCCATAAATACACACAGCAGAAAATCTCATTCAATGTGGAAATGTGAGACACGTCTTATACCATGCAGCCAGTGAGGGGAAAACCGCATCAAACATAAAACAGTTAAACCAACTGGGCTCGGTGGCTCAGCCTGTAATTCCGCGCTTTGGGAGGCTGAGGTGAGTGGATTGCCTGAGCCTGCGGATTCGAGACCCACCTGGGCAACTTGGCAAGACCTCATCTCTACAATAAAAATAAAAAAATTAGCTGGGCATGGTAGCGCACGCCTGTAGTTTGAGCTACTCGGAAGGCTGAGGCGGAAGGATCGCCGGAGCCCAGCAGGTCGAGGCTGCGGTGGCCGGGAGCAGCCGCTGCACTCTAGTCTGGGTGACAGAGTGAGACTCCAACTCAAAAAACCCCCAAAAAACAACAACAAAAAACAGTTAAACCAATATTATACACATGGGCCAGTTAATGGCACATTTTATACCAAGTAAAACAGTGACAGAGAGATCTCATCCAAAAAACATCCAGGAGAACTTAATCTCATTCAACGTGAAACACTAAGGGACACAAGTTTACAGCACGCAACCAGTGGAAAAAAACTCATCCAATGTAAAAGATTATCTAAAAGTTTTCACACTCTACCCCAAGTTAAAGGCACATTTTATAACAAGTGCAACAGTGGCAGAGAGATCTCATTTAAAAATACACCCAGCCATTAATGCGTCCAGTGGGGAAAAAAACGTATCCACCAAAAAATGGTTGAATAAGAATTTTGCACAGCCTGTCCCCAGTTAAAGGCAAAGTGTGACAGTGACAGATCTACTCCAAAAACATACACACATCAGAAAATAATCTCATTCATTGAGAAACTGTTTAAGACACAACTCTTACAGCAGGCATCCAGTGAGAAACCGCAACCAACGTAAAAAGTTGAACAGACATTTTACACAGCCTGGCCCCAGTTAAAGACATATTTTGTACAAAGGGCAACAGTGATAGACTGATCATATCCCAAAATTCAACCAGCAGAAAATAATCTCATCAAAGGAAAGCTGTGTGAGAGAGAATTTTATAGCACGAACAAAGTGGGAAAAACCTTATCAAATGTAAAATGGTTGAACAAAAATTTTATTCAGCCTGGCCCCTGCTAAAGGAACATTTTTTTTTTTTTTTAGTTGGAGTCTCACTCTGTCACCCAGACTGGAGTACAGTGGCCGCTCCCGGCCACCGCAGCCTCGACTGCTGGGCTCCAGCGATCCTTCCGCCTCAACCTTCCAAGTAGCTGGAACTACAGGCGTGCGCTACCACGCCCGGCTAATTTTTTGATTTATTGTAGAGATGGGGTCTCGCTTGCCCAGGTAGGTCTCGAACCCGTGGGCTCAGGCAATCCACTCACCTTGGCCTCCCAAATGCACGGGATTACAGGCTGAGCCACCGAGCCTGGCAGGAACATTTTATACCAAGTGAAACAGTGACAGATAGACTGATATACAAAAATACACCCAGCAGAAAATAATCACATTCAACGTGAAACTGGTAGAGTTACAGCCTTTATAAAATGCACCCAGTGGAAAACAAAACAAAACAAAACACATCCAATGTAAAATGGTTGAACATAAATTTTACACAGCATGGCCAAAGTTAAAGGCACATTTTATACCAACTTTAACAGCGACAAAAAATCTCATCCAAAAATAAACCCAGCAGAAAACAATCTCATTCAACGTGAAACTATGAGAGACCCAACTCATACACCATGCTCCAAGTGTGGAAAAAAAAACCGCATCCAAAGTAAAATGGTTGAACAAATATTTAACACAGTCTGACCCCAGTTAAAGGCACATTTTATTCCAAATACAACAGTGGCAGCCAGATCTTATCCAAAAATACACTCAGTAGAAAATAATCTCATTCAACATGAAACTGTGAGTAACACACCTATAACATGTTGTACACACTTGGGAAAAAACCTCATTCAATGTAAAACAGTTGAACCAACATTTTCCACAGCCTGACTCCAGTTAAAGTCACATTTTATACCAAGTGCAACAGTGACAGAGAGATCTCATCTAAAAATACACCTAACTAAATATAATCTCATTCAATGTGAAGCTGTGAGTGACACAACTCTTACAGCATGCACCCAGTGGGAATAAAACCACATCCAACCTAAAATGGTTGAAACCACATTTTACACAGTCTGGCCCCAATTAAAGGTACATTTTGCACCATGTTCAAAAGTGAATGAAAGACAGATCTCATCCATAAATACACACAGTAGAAAAAGATCTCATTCAACATGAAACTGTGAGAGACGTGTTACAGCACACAACCAGCGGGAAGCAACCACATCAAACATAAAACAGTTAAACCAGCATTATACACAGCATGGGCCCAGTTAAAGCCACATTTTATACCAAGTGCAACAGTGACAGAACGATCTCATCCAAAAAA